TTAAAATTAGAGAGAATGGGAGTGACATTTAATAGGCATAACTTTATTGAAACAGTGTAGCTTTTTTCATTTGTTTTCTGAAATTCTTTAGTAAATTTTATACATGATTATTTAGTTTTTCTGAACATTTCCAAATTTCATATAGGTAAACGTGATAAACTTTTTGATTTTGATAGTAAAAATATTATTTAGTAAGTTTTTTTTATATTAAGTTATACGTTTCTTTTTTTATCTCTTCAAACATTTTTCATTCTTTAAATTCACTCTATTTATTCGAAGTATGTGATTTTGTCTATTATTTAATATTCACAACAAAGATAAATATAATAAATAAATATTATAAATATAAATAACTTTAACAATATGTAATGAAATTTAGAACTAAACCATTATAAATTTACAAAAATAATGAGAGTTTGTATAAGATAGTTTTTTAATAAGATATAAGATAATACTACGTACAAAGAGCAGAGAAATAAGATATAATAACATATTTCTATATTCCATTGAATAACATTGATGTTTAATTAATTATTATAAAATTTGAGATTTCTTGTATATAAAATGAGATATATGTTATTTTAAAACAATATAAATTTAATCTAACAATAAAAAAGGACGTGCCAAAAAACTCTAATATAAAACGAATTTGTGTCTAAAGACAAAAAATAATTTTTGTAAACAAGGGTACAAGGGTGTATTGGAAATTAGTAGATCATAAAAAAAAATGAAAAGTAAAATAAATTTGGCACTCAAGTAAATAATTACCAAAAATATAATAACATATAAACTGAATTTAAATTTGACTTATGCCTAATAAAGATGGTGAGGGATAAGGAATTTTTGTGGGAGAATAGATAAGAATCACACTCCATCCATTCGGGTATTTTGGATTTAAATCGTGTGGGGAACCAATTACAAAGATTCATTTCAGTCAATGATGTCATCTTAAGGACTATAAAGCTTTATCCAATACCCTCCCCTACCTTTCTTCTTCAACCACTTATCATCACAATTAAAAGGTCATATCAATATTCTCCTTTTTATTAGCTTTTCAATTCCTACACACATTAATCCAATTTTCTTTTTTATATTTTCATATACAAATAACGGTATTTCTACTTTATTTTCAATAATATTACTAGAATTAATTATTAAATTTTATTCATTTTAATTTTAGTTCGTCTAAATACATTAATACGTTGATAAAAAAGAATATATATATATATATATATATATAATTTTTTAAATTAAAATAAATACCTTTAATATGCTACCTCAAGCTAACCTAAGCTTGTAACCCGAAGCCGAAGCAACGATTGCGTCATCACGTTTTCGAATCGTTGACTTCGTTTCACTTAAGATGCATCAACGGTCACAGCTACGGTTATGAAGCACGTTATCTTAGGGGATTACTTCTCCAAAAAAATTTCGACGTTGGTAGACACGAGCGCGCCACGACAGTTCTTGCTTCCACTAACCTAAGACAAAACACAACCCCTGCAGTGGAAATCAAAAAGACGAAACCACCCTTTCTTTCGACCGCATAAAACGCTCACTTAGGGGCAGCAAAGGAACTTCTCCCCGCATCCTTTTCGACCAAAAGTATGCATGCCCCGCCAGCATGTGACGCTTGTTCTTCCCCACTTGGCAATAAGGGTACTTCTGTCATTCCACTGTCCGTCGATATTTTTTAGCTTGTGTTCGTACTCGCCGAAGAAATTTTTCATAAATAAATAAATAAAATTTAAAATAAATACAAAAAAGAGCCGCCTCTACTTTATTTATTAGCGGGGCTTTATTACGTAACGAGTTTCTATTTCTCTGTCTGATTTGGCTTGTGTTGTGTGTTCCTCCTCTTCCCTTCGCTTCTTCCTTCGTCAATGTTCCGGTATTTCCTTGTTTTTTCTTCGTCTTTTTTTCTTCCTTAGTTTTCAAGTCTTGAGGGTTTTTCACTGATTCTCAGATCTGGAAACTCTTTACTTTCCTTCTAGATTTTTCTATCCTCGCCACATGTATTCATCTTTCTTTTCTCTGCTTCAGTAGTACCGTGCTTCTGTTCGAATTGCTCTGTGATTCGGTGTTTTTTTTGTATTCTTATATTTGCCTCTGTTTGGTGGTGTCGGCTTCTTCTGCTGTATTTTACTGGTGTTGTTCCTTTTTTTTTTTTTTTTTATGGAATTCAGAGGTATAGTTTTGAGTTGGTGGATTTCGTTACGTGGGAGATGACACTGTTTTCTGTTTTAGGTTGTGGAATATGTCAGATTTGGTTTAGGGGTCGCACTCTGTGTTTGTTTGTGTTTTGCTGGAAAACTGTGATGGTAAAATTTCGGGAAAATATGATAATCTTTGATCTAGTCGCGTTAACCTTTACTCTGTCTCGTTTTTTCTGATGTGAGTATGATACTGGCGACGACTAGTTATTCTTCTACATGGTTGACTCTGCATATCCCCTTATCTTTTTTTTTTTTTTTTTTTTTTTTTTTTATGTTTACTTCCTTTTAATATGTTTTAACTAAGATTGAAAACAATGTTTGAGTTTGGTATTTTTTCTTAGTTTGGATCTACTTCTCTGCATATCCCATTGTAGCTGATTCTCTCAAACTCTTGTAGTAGTCATCATGTGTGCATATTAAATGCTAATATTCTTATTAGCGGGATATATTACAAAATATGAACTGGTTGTAGCGCGGTTATTAATGTAGCATAGTATGGTGTGTTGGTAGTTGTGTTCTAGAACAGGATCCATAGTTTGCTTTTACTTTCAAATATTGAGGCTTGAATTGGTTGTTATCTTCAAATTTATGCAGGAGCAACACTACTTATCTTTAGCCTTCTCTTGTATATTTGGAAAGTTGGTTTCTGCTGGAATTTTTCTGAACAAATTCATTTACTGAAAGGATTTTGTGACTATGGAGTTCCATACGAACACAATGAGAATGGATCCTACCCTCCTTAAATCTGCGAAGGTCAGAGAACTCCTTATGATTTGTCAGTTTCTTTTATTTTTCCTTGTTCCAAGCTTCTTATTATTTTTATTTTTTTCTCTTTGGTTCTGTTTCAAGTCAAAGATATATTTAATATTCTCGTCAAAATCGAATTGTGGTTCTTTCTACATGCAATGAATAAACTTGGTCTTCCATATCCTGATATTCTTCCCTTTTTTTATTCTTTTTAAATATATATTTTTTTTGGTGTACAACAGCCGATTTTGTTTTCATTTATTCTTGCCAATTCAAAATTTCAACCCTTTTTGGCTGAAAATGCTTATTACAACTTTATATCTCTGAATGTGTCTCTTCATTTCTTCATAGGGTTGTGAAACTCAAGGTGTCCCATTCATGTATATTTTTAAATATATGCAAGCACATCATCACAAACACAACACACACAGAGAACCTTCTGAGGTTCTTACATTCTCCAAGAGCAATGCATCTGAAAGTCCAATGTTTTAATCACAATCTAACAGCTCAAATTCTGTATGTGCCACATGTTACTTGCTAATTGACAAGGTGCAATACTTTTCGAAGGATGAAAGTTTTCTGATTTTCTATTATCTTGGTTTTATATATTTGACTTGTTAAGTAAAACCTCTCACAAACAATGTTAGGTATCGCCTAGACAATCTTTCCTATGAAGGTTGAATGCTTGAAAGACTGCATAAACAATCTTTGAAACTTGTTTTGTAATGTGTATCAAGTTCACATATTTTGGTCCGCTTGATGAAATGAAGCCTATATCTATTGTGTTTTTTAGGTTGGACTTTCCATTTAATAATTTCATATTATTTTCTCAGAGAAGCAGGATTATGTAAAAGACACGTAACCATTTTGTTTAGATTGAATGATATATGCGCAGTACTATTTCGCATGGATGTTGATTTCAAGGTTGACTTTTAGTAATCATTTGAGGTAAAGATGTATCGAAATTACCTAAACTATCAAGTAAGAACCACCATCTTTTGCAATGGTTTCCTATAAAGATAGCATCCAAAGGCTTATGCAGACTATTCAGACCGCCAGTTTGAAAAATTGATTTTGTGAGAGAAAAAAAGTTATTTCAATCATTCCTAGTCTTCCCCCTAATTTTGTTACAATATTTTCTGGACAAATGCTCTTCTCTCCTATTTTCCTACGTTTCCCTATATAATATCATTGTTTTCTAGACCTATCTTTCTTGATTATTCTAGAAATGTTCACTGATCACTGTGGAGCAAGCATAGACAGCACAAAAGTAGTATGGAAACATGTTTTTCATGTTGACCTAGGTGTAGTTTAAAATGGGAAGGTACCAAACTAATTCTACATGCATAAATATATTTGAACTCTTGGAACATTGAGACTGAAATTCTTGCTTCAATATAATACATATCATTTATATTTCTCTGTCTATTTGTTTGGAATCTTGTATGCATTTTTTCACTAATATATTGGTACCATGTCCCTTCTAATGTGTCATTTCATTAAATTAACATTTTTCTTGCTTGTGTTAAGTTGAGACATGAAAACTTGACATTTCCTTTTTTTTTTTTTTTTTAATCACATGAACCCTCTGAATCATTGACGGTGAAGTGTGTTTTATATGGGTGCACTGTGGGTTAAAAATTAGTTTCCCTTTAAGTATTAATCTATTCATTAATAATAATAACTTATTTCCTTGTTTCTTTGTCAGGGTTAATGAAGCTTTATGGTTTATTCACTGGGAGCACGAGCAGCCCCAGAGAACTCCTTACTTCAGTATTAAGCAGTCTTATCAAAGGTTTCTTTCCGAAAGATGTTATAAGATATATTTGGTAAAATTTAGTTTATTGAAAGATTAACCTTAGCCTGGGATAGAGTGAAAATGGACAGATCAGATACATCAGGCTTTGTAAGTGGTGGAAACTGTATATTGGAATTTGTTCTAGCCAAGTTCTGGTATGTATGCGAGTATTATAGTATGTGGTGAACTTTTCTGCTGCTTCAACCTTCTCTGTAGCTGTAGCGTAAAACATCTGGATAATGGATTTGAGCATGAAAGCTTTACTGTCTCCTCATGATACTGAACTCAGGAAAGATGACAACTTCGGTGATACTACATTATGCTTGAATGGCATTGGCTTTGGAGAAACAAATAAGATTACATCTAGATGTACCGAGAGCAATCTTGGGGTGAAGTTTTCCAATGCTTCTGATGATGGCTGCAGATTGGTTCTGGGATTGGGCCCAACCCCAACTACATTTGACGATGACTACAACAATTTGGGGTTTAATACCAAAAAAAAGTCAGTCAACCTCTTTCCTCAGCATGTACCATCTGAATGTGAATCAATTCTTCAACTTGGTCTTTCAGGTGTAACAAATGAGGCATCAAGTGTGCTCGACTGCTCAGGTTCAACTGAGACTGATGTGAGTATGTCATGTTTCTCAAGCCAAACTTCCCTAGAGAATTATTTTTCAAGGATTCCTGTTGTTGATGAGGGTTCTACCTCAGCTAAGAAATCAGGTGGCTACATGCCATCACTTCTTTTAGCTCCAAGAATGGATAATACTAGTTCCGCGCAGGCAGAAGAATTAACTACTGGAACTAAACCTCAAATGTGCCCAGAACCATCCAGTGTAGTAAATTACTCCCTTGATACCGCATCTGGGCCCCAGGCTACAGGGATAACTTCAGATAACCGAACAAGCAATCCTAAGAGATGCAGATTTTTTGGCTGTACAAAGGGAGCTCGAGGTGCTTCGGGACTTTGCATTGGACATGGTGGTGGACAGAGATGTCAGAAACCAGGATGCAACAAAGGTGCCGAGAGCCGAACTGCTTATTGTAAGGCCCATGGTGGAGGGAAGAGGTGTCAACACTTAGGATGTACTAAAAGTGCTGAGGGAAAGACAGATTATTGCATTGCACATGGTGGTGGTAGGAGATGTGGGTATCAAGGTGGGTGCACAAAAGCTGCGCGAGGTAAGTCGGGACTTTGCATTAGACATGGAGGGGGTAAGAGGTGTAGAATAGAAGGTTGCACTCGGAGTGCTGAAGGGCAGGCTGGGCTGTGCATCTCTCATGGAGGTGGACGCCGTTGTCAGTTGCAAGGATGTACAAAGGGTGCACAAGGGAGCACTATGTATTGCAAGGCACATGGTGGTGGGAAGCGATGCTCATTTGCAGGGTGTACCAAAGGTGCTGAAGGAAGCACCCCTCTGTGCAAGGCTCATGGTGGGGGAAAACGCTGCCTTTTCAATGGAGGTGGCATTTGCCCCAAAAGCGTACATGGAGGCACAAACTTCTGTGTTGCGCATGGTGGTGGAAAGAGGTGTGCTGTTGCAGGTTGCACCAAGAGTGCACGTGGCCGTACAGACTGTTGTGTTAGGCATGGTGGGGGTAAGCGATGCAAGTTTGAAGGATGTGGGAAGAGTGCTCAAGGGAGCACAGATTTCTGTAAGGCCCATGGTGGAGGAAAACGATGTAGTTGGGGAGATGGGAAGTGTGAGAAATTTGCAAGGGGAAAGAGTGGTCTCTGTGCTGCTCATAGCAGCTTGGTGCAAGAGCGAGAAATGAACAAAGGCAGTCTGATTGCTCCTGGACTTTTCCGTGGTCTTGTACCTGCTTCTTCCACTGCGTGTAGCAGTTTTGAGAACAATTCTTCCTCAGGTGTGAGTGTTGTGTCTGACTCCTATGATTCTATGGAAACACCAGCACCAAGACAGCTCCTCATACCGAAGGAGGTGTTAGTTCCGCTTTCAATGAAGTCACCGTCGTATTCAAACTTCTTGACTGCTAAGAAGCCAGACCAAGACAGAAACTGCCACAGCTTGGCCGCAGGTTGCAGCAGTGCTCAGAAAGGCCTCAACTTTAATCTGCCGGAGGGCAGGGTCCACGGCGGGGACCTCATGTTGTATTTTGGAGGGAATCTCAAAAATGCTCTTGACGGCATCTGAAATAGGTGGGAGCTGGTGTCACGCAAGTTGTAGATTCAGTTTAGGGATTAGGGACCATTTCCATGATGGAATTGTGCATAAGGCTTTGTTGCTGCTTGTTCAATAATTTGTGTATAGTTGGGTGTTGATTATTAGCCATTAATCTCTTATTGTTTGTAGTGCTTCGTCAGTGCGATGGCTTTCATTATTCAATGTAAGGTGGCAACGTTAAAACCAAGTCCACTGCCACAAACAGCACTATACCTTGGGGTGGACTTGCTCCAATTGAATCATTGTATTCTTAAACCTGTAGTTTTATTTTGTTTCAAAATAAAGCGTTGAAACTGAATACCACTATCGCTAATCAACGTCTGCGTAGCTATCGTGTTTCGTACAGTATAAATAATAGATTTCTGAGAATATATCCCTCACTCATATAGCATCGGCGTCGTTGTCTTCTTCCTTTTCTCTGACCTTTCCGTTCTTCTCAATGCAACCGACGCTGGAACCGCACTGAATCGCCATTTGTGCGTGTAATATCTCTCCAGTTCTTTATGCTCTATCAGTTTTCAACCTTTTTTTTTTTTTTTTTAAATTATCTTTCTACGATAATTTTGCCAGACAATTTCTTTGCGATTTCTTCGAATGATTCAAGCATTTTCTCGAATCAATCGTCTGAGTTTGTAAGAAAGAAACTAGCGTTGAAGTTAAGAAAGCACAATGGCGTTTGAAAATCGGTCCGCGTCGTGGCTCTCGAAGGAGAAAATTTCGACGTAACAGTGTTTTTCGTCTTTGATATACAGGAATAGGCAATGGAAAACGCGTGGAGCAACGGCAAGATGAAGGTCATGAAGCCGAGGACTTCGAACGAGAATGTTCCACCGATGCAGATCGACTCGGATGAGAGAAGAGGACGCTATCTCCAACCATCCACGATGAGTCCACGGTTTCAACCGTACACGGAGAACATCGACGCCGGTTCGCCGCTCGCACGCTACCTCTTCGCCGGATCTCCTCTGCCCGGCAAGGTCGCTGCAGCCGGCGAGGCATTCAGTCCGCCGTCGTTCAATGCCTGGTCCGCGAAAGCTCTTCAATACTGTGGTAACAGTTCGGGGCGGAGCAGCAGCTTCGGCTCTCGCGGTAGGATGTCGCCGTCGCCGCTTTCGTCAATTGAGAACATGGAGATCGCGTCGCTAATGTCACCGCCAATGTACCGAACGGCGGCGACGGGGGACGACGACGTTCTCGTGATGGATGACATTCTGGTGAGGCCAGTGTCCGGAGGAAAGAGTGGAAGGTCTTCATCTTCCTCTGGCCGCGGTTCGTCCTCTTCGTCATCGGCGTCCAAGAGCGTGTTCAAGACGGAGATGTGCAGAGCGTGGGAAGATTCTGCAAACTGCCGCTACAACTCCAAATGCCAGGTTGGTTCGCGCCATAACTATATTATTATGAATTGAAAGATAAGGATATTTTCTCCATCATATATTATGATAGTATAATATGTACTTAAGGCATGTTTTTACTTCCACAATGCTTTTCTATTCAATGTCAATAGTAAATAACATGCCTGTCTTAGGTATTTGATAGCTTAACGGTGTCAACGTCTTGTAGTTACACTTAAAAGAAGAGCCTCATTCAGGTCGTCCCTCCCCGAAAAGCAAATCCAGGGTAAGGAATCAAAAAATACATATCACAATGTCCCTCAACAAAAAAAATAAGTATTCGGGAATTTGAGTATATTTCTTCTCGAGTTATGTAGGCAGAAACAAGCACATCATCTGTCAGAGGAGGATCAAGCACGCATGGCCCAAGCAGCCGCATTGTTCAACAGCAGCATGCAGCAGTGGAATCTGATCACCAAGTTACAACTTCCCAACCAACTTCACCCGAACGGCATCATACCCTTGCCTTCGACAATGACTGGTCACCCCTGGATGATGGTATTGACGTTCTACTCCCAGGTTCAGATAAAGCTCCATCAAGGAAAGAAATTTATGCTTATATTTCCAGTATTCACCATGTCCACACTGCGAAAAGAAGACTACCGGTATTTGAAGCAATTAGCAAGGGGGCTTGATCCCCATGATTGATAAAACAAAGCCTCTTTTTCACCGTTTGAAGTTACTCTTCTAAGTCAACCACTGTTTTCTCTTTTCTTTTCATTTGAATAGTTTCCCCCCCATTTTTAACTAAATAAAGTCATGGTTGTAGGGGCGTACGGGAAAGTATAACCGTGGTAACCAGTTGATGGCTAGAATACCTTTGTAGTTTGTGCATACATTTGAGAATAATGACATGATATTAAGAAAAGAACATAATTGTTACGTTTGTTTTTGATCGAATACCTTTCTACCGTGTTTATATCGAGTTATGCACAGGGAATTTGATTCTTGTTGGATGAGGTATGGAATTCATGTTCATCATCGGAACAGCTTTAGGCTAACCTGTAGTTTGGAGCTGCAATAATCTCCTTCCAGCCCTATATTTAGTCAAAATTTTAGGAATGTCACAAGTTCACAACTAAACTAGTAGTGACGTCGTAGTGTAGATTCTGTCGTATTCATATTACTAGCATTGCACAAGAAAATTATTTTATTCAATAATTTTTCTTTCCAATCATACCCTGCCTCGTGTCAAGGAAAAGGAAGCTCCCGGGCAGAAAATTGTGACATTCTCAAAATATTGAAAACCAACTTTTTACTCTGGACTAACATATGATAATAATTATCTCATCAGTGATTGCTCAAATCCACGTGAAGACATGGCATCAGCGTCAGCTTCTCCACCAAAACCAATCCAAGAGCCACATCCACCAGAATCAAACCCCTATAGGAAAAAAAAAAAAGGCTTTGATCATTAACCGAAAACCTTATCCAAACTCCAATGACTACTATCACAATCTTCTCCGTCCCATGCACAAACCCCTCCCCCCTCTCTTCTCCAAAACGATTCAGATTCAATCCCCAATCCTCCGCACAACTTTCCCCTACCTCCTCCTTACCTCTTCAAACCCCCTCACTCCCCAAAACCGGAGTCATCGTCATCGGCGCCGGCCTTGCTGGCCTTGCAGCCGCAAACCACCTGAACTCCAACAACATCCCCTTCCTCCTCCTCGAAGCTTCCGACGCGGTCGGCGGCCGCGTCCGCACCGACATTGTCGACGGCTTCCTCCTCGACCGCGGCTTCCAAATCTTAATCACAGCCTATCCAGAAGCCCGAAAGCTCCTCAATTACCAATCTCTGGATCTCCAGAAGTTCTACTCCGGAGCTCGAATCTTCTATGATGGCCAATTTCACACCGTCGCTGATCCTCTTCGCCACTTTTGGGATTCCGCAAAATCCCTCACCAACCCCATTGGATCCCCCCTCGACAAGCTTCTGATCGGATCCACCAGAATTCGCGTCCTCGCTAAATCCGACGAAGAGATCCTCGCCGCAGAGGAGGTCCCCACAATTGCATTACTCAAGAAGCTAGGGTTTTCCGATTCCATCATCGGAAGATTCTTTCGCCCCTTCTTCGGCGGAATCTTCTTTGATCCAGACCTCGAAACGACGTCGCGCCTGTTCGATTTCGTCTTCAAGTGTCTCGCCCTCGGAGACAACACCCTTCCGGCGAGGGGCATATCGGCCATCCCGGAACAACTGGCGGCGAGGTTGCCGTCCGGTTCACTCCTGCTTAACTCCAAGGTCGTTTCCGTCGACCTCAACGGCTCTGAAACGCCGCTCGTTAGGCTGCAAAATGGCGATGTTTTGAGGAGCAAGCTGGGAGTCATCATCGCAGTTGAAGAACCCGCGGCAGTTCAACTATTAGCGGGAAGGACCGGTCCGGTTCCTAAAAAGCCGGTTCGAAGCACGGTCTGTTTGTATTTCACCGCGAACCGGGATAAGATACCGGTTCAAGACCCCGTCCTATTTCTGAATGGGTCGGGTAAGGGCATTGTAAACAACATGTTCTTTGCCACAAATGTGGCTTCATCGTACGGGCCACCCGATAAGGCCCTGGTATCAGTGTCACTAATTGGGGTGTTTGAGGGTGTGTCTGACGATGAACTTGTGGGTAAGGTTATTGAGGAGCTTCGGGGTTGGTTTGGGGGGAGAATGGTAGCGGAATGGAAGCATTTGAGGACCTATCGAATTGGGTTTGCCCAGCCCAATCAGTGCCCACCCACAGATCTGAAGAAAAACCCGAGAGTTGAGTCGGGTTTGTATGTGTGTGGTGATTATTTGACCTCTGCCACGTTTGATGGTGCTTTGGTCTCTGGGAGAAGGGCATCGGAATCCTTATTGAAAGATAGAGCCCTCTCCCCATCTTAAATTTCTTGTACTTTATCAAACTATTTTTCATTTTAACTTCTTTGTTTCCAACTATAAAATGTTGGCAAGAGCATAAATGCAACCATTTAATATTTTTCAACGAAAAAATACATGAGAATACGGGTTCTGCTTTTCGTGTTATATAACAAAAAAATACATTGATTCTGCATATATTATTATATTTAATATATATTATATTTTTAATATTTTTTAATATTTAATATATTTAATATTACATTGATTCTGCATATAATGGGCGGTTAATATTTTTTAATTTATATATTTTTTTCATTTATTTGATATTATAATAATATATAATTTAAAAATATATTAAAAAATAAAAAAATTAATGGAATAAGAAATTATTTTATTCTATTATTCGTTCATCTTTATTTTATTTTAATCTAAATAATTTAACTTTTTATTTTTTTTCACCCTCTCGAATCAACTGGGAATTGAAACAAGCTTAGGATATGCAGGATAAATTTTAATTCTACATAATTTTTTTCCTTGTTAGAGAGAATATTTATGTTTCCTTTGTACAAATATAGTGTATAGCTGTTGATCTCCTTTTCGTACCAAATTCAAAATATATTTACTGGATTATTCATATTAATGAGCGCGAATCGCTGAGATATTTGTTCAGATCTACATAATTCATGTATTTATAAAAAATATAAAGTTGAATTGTGTTTTTGAGATAACGAGTGTACGATAAAGAGAAGCTTTTCTCTTTGTTGTAATTCCAAAGATGCAATAGAAACTTGTAATTAAAGGATAAGTAGGGACAGTCATAGGAGTTGGAATCAAACGAAACTGAAAAATAAATATAGGCCACATTGCCCAGTGTGTGAAGCAGCTAGTAATAATTTTGTTTTAGAAAGTCGTCGTTTTTCAACATAAAACAAAACATGTTTTACACAAATCTCACTGACAATTGATAGCAGCAAAATTAAAAGGAAATGGAATAAAATATTTTTCACGGAATTGATGTAATACTGATCAAAATTATTGCCAATACAATTATCGTAACACGGCCAGCGAGAGACAAGCATCCCACGTGAATCTTTCGGTTTCTTTTGGTCACAAGACAAGTGTGAGTTGGTGACGCATCCAATCATGCCATACCTCCCTCTTCCTGCCACTTCGGAATTTAAACACTAAACATGCAGAGGGTAAGAAGGTAAATGACAATTTGAACACGCTGCCATAGAATACAAGAACAGAATATTGTGTGTGGTTGCCATTGTCAACAACAGCAGTAGTGAGCCACGCTTATCTGGAAATGGAAAGGGATTTAGCGCAAGAGGAAGAGGAGCAGCGGGAGTGGGGCCTCTACGAAGCCTACAATGAGCTCCACGGGCTGGCCCAGGACTTGCACACGCCGTTCGACGCCCCCGCGGTTCTAGTGGTGGGCCACCAAACCGACGGGAAGAGCGCCCTGGTGGAGGCCCTAATGGGCTTTCAGTTCAACCACGTGGGAGGCGGTACCAAGACCCGCAGGCCCATCACTCTCCACATGAAATACGACCCCCAATGCGAATCTCCTTCCTGCCACCTCGTCTCCGACACCGACCCTTCTCTATCTCACCAGAAATCTCTCCCCCAAATTCAGGTTGCTCCCTCTATTTCCTCTACGACTTCAATTTCTTTAACTCATTTTCTTCCCTTACATCTTGCAGGCTTATATCGAAGCTGAAAATGCGAGGTTGGAGCAAGACTCGAGCCAATTCTCCGCCAAAGAAATCATCATCAAAGTGGAGTATAAGTACTGCCCCAACCTCACCATCATCGATACTCCCGGCCTCATCGCTCCTGCTCCAGGCCGCAGGAATCGCCCTTTGCAGGCGCAAGCACGTGCCGTCGAAGCGCTCGTGCGGGCCAAGATGCAGCACAAGGAGTTCATTATACTCTGCCTCGAGGATTGCAGTGACTGGAGCAACGCAACCACAAGGCGCGTCGTCATGCAGGTCGATCCCGAGCTGGCTAGGACTGTCATCGTCTCCACCAAGCTCGATACCAGGATTCCTCAGTTCGCGCGCCCCTCCGATGTTGAGGTTTTCCTCTCGCCGCCTCCATCCACGCTTGATGGCTGCATTCTTGGTGATTCTCCGTTCTTCACTTCCGTGCCTTCGGGAAGAGTGGGATGTGGAAGTGGTTATCTGTATACCTCCAATGATGAGTTCAAACAGGTTATGTTTTTGCTCCTTTACTTCATATATAGCCTAACATTCTTCATATGCTCTTCGTTTTGTACTTCTTATTTTGTTTTATTTTAATGTTCGGCATGTCAAGTAAGTTTTTGCATTTTTTTTATGTTTTTCTAATACTGTTTTAATTGCCTATCCTGTGGCTAAAAGTAAACTAGCAGATGATGTGATCTATATATTGAAAAGAGGTAATACATAATAATAAGACGTAATTGCATTTTTAGATATTGTGATGGTTGATTTTGGCCTAGGTTATAATTGCGCCAATTGAGTCTCTCAAGTTTTCTCCCATCTAGATTCGATCCATTATTTTAACAAAATTAAATGGCATGGCAAACTAGCATGATACGACAATGGGTATATACAAAAACACAAAATATTTGAATTGCAATGACCCAAAAAGGTACTATGAGTGTATTGACTTAATTGTGAATAGATTGCGGGTAAGTTATTGTTTTGATAATAATGAGCAAGAAAAGGGATGTCATTCGATCTTGAGCAAATTAATGACTTAAATATTGGATGAAAATGGGATGGGAGGGTCCTGATTGAAAATGAGAAAAAAACTTGAGGGATCCAATTGGTGCAATTGAAACTCGAAGAACCAAAATTGCACAGTCGTGAAACTTAAGAAATTAAAAATGCAATTAAGCCAAATAATAAATAAACAGAACAATGCCGCTGTGATTTGAGTTTGTAATCCCCTTGGAGCAATTCATAATTTGAGTTAAAATTTTGGTGCACTGATACTTGACAATTTCATTTCCTTGATCTATTTAGTTGTACTTATGGATACAGGCAGTGTGCTTTAGAGAGATAGAAGATGTTGCATCTTTGGAGGAGAAGTTGGGCAGGGCATTGTCAACGAAGGAAAGGAGTAGGATAGGTGTGAGCAAACTAAGGCTATTTCTGGAAGAATTGCTACAAAAGAGGTTCTTATACATTATAGTTTGATTTTAAGCTTGTCTGGTTATTTTTTGTTTTGTTTATAATTCTCTGGCTGAGTCCTTAATAATGGTCGTGCTAGGTATATAAATAATGTACCATTGATCATCCCACTTCTTGAGAAGGAGTATAGGGGTGTGACAAGGAAATTGAGTGACATAAATCAAGAATTGAGGTATGTACCAAATTTAAAACTTAAAAGTATTTCTGTTGTACACGCAGAGGAAGGAACAAGGGTAATAATTTGTTTTTAATTTTTTTATATATAGAGCTGTTATCTATATGGTTTCCAATCATCACTTGTTTTATTCTCCTTCACATTTTATACAGCACACTTGATGAAGCCAAACTGAAGGAGAAAGGAAGAGCATTCCATGATATGTTCTTGACCAAGGTTTCTTTGTCATAAATTTTTCTTCTCAGTATCTGACCCTTCTTTATTGGTAAATTCATTATGTTGCTGGTTCTTAGAACTCCTACCAAAGGGAGTGGTATTAATCTGGGATGTTTAGCTAGTAGAGTAAACTCTTTGTCTGTCCCTTATTTTGTATGGATTTGCATATGCATGCTTCTGACTAATTATTTTCAGATGTTTGAATAAGTAGATAGTGGTTGAACCTTAAAATGTACTCCTATATGTCCTCTCTCACTTGCATATTTTCTATTATTCAGTTGTCATTATTGCTTAAAGGGACAGTTGTTGCACCTCCTGACAAGTTTGGTAAATCTCCTATACCTTAGCTCTTTTGAATGGACTAGCGTACTGAACAGTAGATTATGCACAACAGTTGAAAAGCAACCTTACTATCTTTGGATATCCCCTTTTCCTTGACAAATGGTCCTGGTTAAATTTCTTGACTTTTTTTTTTTTTTTCAGGTGAAACACTACAAGATGAACGAATAAATGGAGGTGCATTTATTGGTGCTGATGGTATTCAGTTCCCTCACAAGCTAATACCTGTAAGTTTTGACCTACTTTTTTACTATTCTTATGTGCTGCATTAGTTTTTCAATGCAGTGGATGACAATCTAGCTAAACTTGGTTTTACTAGTTTCAGTTATTAAAAACATGTATAATTGACATTTTCTTTGTCTTTGAGATGATGATTTTATTTAACCTAAGCAGTTATGTCTGTTAATTACTACTTTTGGATGAGTTTTAAGTTTGTGTGGTGGGTGAAGATTAACTCTGAATCTTGTTAAACAAACACCTGATGATCAGGTCCAAACCCACCATTACGCATATGTTGGGAGACTTAAAAGGTGCAACACACCTAGGAGGGAAGGTCTCAACTTATTGCCTAGTTTGAACTATATGGAAGGGAGTTTGGGGGGTGGGGTAGGTTGCTACAGGATTGAGGTATAAACACTTACTTGAAATAGAAAAAAGAAAATAAAGAACTGATTTTGAGAGCCTGAAATCATCTTCTTGTGTGTTCTCTTATTTATAGGAGATAAAAATACAGATTCAGAGATACAATTAATAGAGAGACATGATTAATCCTAGAGAAGATAAACAGATGGATTCTAGGAACTAGATCTACAACTAATCTCATAAATGTCCAACAAGATACATTTAATCTAATAAATACTTCAACACTCCCCCTCAAGCTGGAGCATACAAATTGAATGTACCAAGCTTGGAACAAATGAATTCCATTCGAGGTCCTCTCAAAGATTTTGTTAATGCATCTGCAAGCTGCTCATTGGAACCAACAAACTCAGTGCAAATTTCTTTAGTCAACAATTTCTCTCGAATAAAATGACAGTCAATCTCAATATGCTTGGTCCTCTCATGAAATACTGGGTTGGAAGCAATGTGAAGAGCAGCTTGATTATCACAATACATCTTCATAGATTGAATCTCACAGAAGTTCAATTCTTGCAAGAATTGTTTTACCCAAACAAGTTCACAAGTAAGAGACGCCATTGCCCTATATTCAGCTTCAGCAGAGGATCGGGCAACAACGTTTTGCTTTTTGCTTTTCCATGAAATGATATTTCCTCCAATGAAAACACAATAGCCCGTAGTGGAACGCCTATCCATAGGAGATCCAGCCTAGTCAAGCATCACGAGTACCCAAAAATTTGGGTATTTCCCTTGTCTTCATATAATAATCCTTGTCCCGGAGCTTTTTTAATGTATCTTAAGATTCGAATGATAGCATTCCAATGATCCACACAAGGAGCTTGCATAAATTGGCCGACAACACCAACCGCAAAAGACAAATCGAGTCTAGTAATCGTCAAATAAATAAGTTTCCCAACCAGTCTTCTATATCTTTCCGGGTCGAGAAAACTTCACCCCGTCCCGCCATTAACTTCAAATTTGGATCCATAGGACTCGTCCACGGGTTTGCAATCAATCATACCTGTCTCTTTTAGAATATCTAGAGCATACTTCCTTTGAGAGATGACAATACCTTCTCTTGATTGAGCTACTTCAATACCCAAGAAATATTTTAGATTTCCAAGATCCTTGGTCCGAAAATGACTACTCAAGTGCCCTTTTAACCGAGATATTTTAGCAACGATCATTCCCCGTGATGACAATATCATCAACGTACACAATTAAATAAACATGTTTGCCAGGGGCAGTGTGACAATAAAACACCGAATGATCTCGCTTCACTGCGTTTTAATCCAAAAGCTTGAACAATAGAGCTGAATTTTCCAAACCAAGCCCGTGGAGATTGTTTTAGGCCATAGAGGGATCGACGTAATTTACAAACCAAACCAGACTCCCCCGAGCAACAAATCCAGGAGGTTGCTTCATGTAAACTTCTTCTTCTAAGTCACCGTGCAAAAAAGCATTTTTAATATCCAATTGATGAAGAGGCCAATGACGAATGGCGGCCATGGCAAGGAACAAAGCGACAGTGGTCATTTTGGCTCATCGGAGAAAAAGTATCACAATAATCAAGTCCATATATTTGAGAATACCCTTTAGCCACTAACCTTGCTTTAAGACGATCAACCCGACCATTGGGCCCAACTTTAATAGCATAGATCCAACGACAACCAACTGTTTTCTTTCCGAAGGGAGAGGAACAAGCTCCCAAGTTTTGTTGTGATCAAGAGCCTCGCATTTCGTAAATCATGGCTTGTCGCCATCCAGGATGATCAAGCGCTTCGACCACATTTTTGGGAATTGTAATAGAGGAGACAGAGGAAATAAAAGAACAATAGGAAGGAGACAATCTATGATAACTAAGAAAATTGTAAATGGGATGAGGATTACGAGTAGAACGAGTACCTTTGCGAATGACAATGGGCCAACTGGAATCATCGTTATCAGGAGCCGTGGTATTAGAGGATGATGGTGAAGGACCTGTTATGGATGACTCATCTTGGGGAATGAGATTGTTCACCTGGTTCCTGCGTTGATAGGTGATGATAGGTCGTGATGCTGATTCTAGAGTATTTTGGTCGGAAATAGGAGGTACAACTGATTCAACTAAGGGAACAGGAAGCACATTTTGGACAGTAATCAATATCCCGCATAGAATAAGGGAAGAAGGATGATGATTCAAAAAAGGTGACATTAGCAGACATGTAGTACCTCTTGGTTTCAGGAGAATAACACCGATATCCTTTTTGAAGACGAGAATACCCCAAGAAGACACATTTGATAGCTCTAGGTAAGAGTTTATATAAGTCAGGAGACATGTCATGAACAAAACATATACATCCAAATACCCTAGGAGAAACATGAAAAATTGGTTCCTTTGGAAATAGAATAGAGTGTGGAACTTTATTATCAAGAGAAGAAGATGACATTCTATTAATGAGAAAGCATGCAGTTAGAATAACATCTCCCCAATGATGAATAGGCATATTGGCACCCAGCAATAAGGTACGAGCAGTTTCAACCAAATGTCTATTTTTTCGTTCTGCTATACCATTTTGCTGTGGTGTGTGAGGACACGTGGACTGGTGTAAAATGCCTTGAGAATTTAGGACATTAGAAAAATCATTAGAAAAGTACTCTTTGGCATTATCACTTCGTAAAACTTTGATTACTTTTCCAAATTGAGTTTTGATTTCATTAAGGAAAGACTTAAAGATAGACAATAGTTCAGAACGATCTTTCATAAGATAAACCCAAGTACATCTAGAAAACCCATCAATAAAAGTAACAAAATATCTAAAACCAAAAGATGAAACACGACTAGGTCCCCATATATCTGAATGAACAATACTAAAAGCAGAATCACATCTAGATTCAGAATGATTTGGAAAGGATGATCTGGTATGTTTCCCTAGTTGACAGGATTCACATTCAAGAGTTTGAAGGTTTTGAAGTTCAGGAACCATTTTTTTCAATTTTGCTAAATGAGGATGCCCTAATCGCTCATGTAACAGTTTTGGGGATAAAGACGCAACACAAGATACAGATGACTTAGTCCTAAGGTAGTATAAGCCTCCAGATTCATGTCCTTTTCCAATCAGTCGACCCGTACCACGTTCCTGGATAACAAAACAATTGGCATTAAAGGTTACTGAGCAATTCAATGATTTGGTTAATTGGCTTACAGAAACAAGACTGAATGGAAAAGAAGGAACACAAAGAACATTTTGAAGGTTTAAAGAAGAAGAGATGGATACTTGACCAATTCCTTTAGAGGCTACTTTAGATCCATTAGCTAAAGATATGAGATGGGATGCTTTAGGAAATGAAAGAGAGGAAAATAAAGAGGTATTACCAGACATGTGGTCAGAAGCACCTGAGTCAATAATCCATGGATTTTGACTTTCCACAGATTGCGAAATGCAAGCGGTTGACGGATTTGGTGTTGTAGATGCTTGAGCCAAATTAGTTGATTTCATCCTTAAATATTCTTGATACTCTTCATAAGAGAACTTGGGCTCATCAACTTCAGATTTTAAGGTATTAGCTGCCTTATCAGGAAAGCCGTGAAGAGCAAAACAATTTTCCTTAGTATGTCCCATTCTTTTCCAATGAGAGCACTGAGGACGTCCTTTCCCACCACGTCCTCTAGAGCTGTGATTACCTCTTCCACGAGCAGAAATCATGGCGGAAGAATCAGCAAGTTCCTGATTGATTTTGCTTTTGATAGAAGGAACACGAAGTAGCCTTGTGATTAAACTCTCCGTAGAAGGAACTTCTTCTCCAGTTAGAATTTGGTCTCTAACATGATTAAACTCTGGATTCATAGCCCTAAGAATCATTACCATATAGAATTTATCCAGCTTCGTCTTCCTTTCTTCTAATGATTCTCGCCTCCAGGAACATTTTTAATTCTTCAACAACTGATCGAGCTTCAACGAACAAAGGACATCATGGAATTATCCTCTTGCTTAAGGGAGGCTAGTCTATTAGCAGTAATCATAAAGTCGTTGAATATTGTTAGCAAAGATATTTTGAGCCTTTTTCCAAAAAGAATTACATGTCTTGAAGGCTCGAAGAGTGCTCAAAATATGTGGTTCAACAGATTGCCATAATAGTGCACAAAGTTGATAATCCAGCTTTCTTCCATTGAGGAGCCCGGTCTCGCTGGTATAGTACTTCCATCTTCTTCTAGATGATCATGAACTCCTTGACCTAGAAACCAGAGTTCAACAGAGGAAGCCCAAGACAAATAATTTTTCCCATTTAATTTTTCCGTGGTTATAGTCGGAGTCCCGAAAAAGATACGGATACGTGATCCCGACATTTTCCAGGAAACGAGAAGGGACCAGCCGTGCCTGTCGAGAGAGGACCGAGAGAGGCAGAGAGAAAAAACGTAGACCCACCACGTTTTGTGACCGAGAACACAAAACAAAGTGCAGATCTGGCACCAGGGCGACGAGGCGAGCCGGATAGAGGTGGCCTGGAGCAAAACAGCCACCGAGAGGGCGGCGCGTGAGGCCCACGCGCGGAGGAAGCCGCAGACGAGGGTGGCGCGTGGCGGCGCGTGAGGCAAAGATAGAGGAAGCGAACACTGGGGTTGGGTCGCGCTCCTCGAGGCGAGCCAAACCCAAGTATCAGAGAGGAAAAAGGCGCCGGAGAAGACAACACCGGCGTCGAACGGCGGCGGACGGCGATTAATGCATGAAAAAAAACAGAGACAGGCAGAGCGGGATGAACCCGCTCTGATACCAACTTGAAATAGAAAAAAGAAAATAAAGAACTGATTTTGAGAGCCTGAAATCATCTTCTTGTGTTCTCTTATTTATAGGAGATAAAAATACAGATTCAGATATACAATTAATAGAGAGACATGATTAATCCTAGAGAAGATAAACAGATGCATTCTAGGAACTAGATCTACAACTAATCTCATAAATGTCCAACAAGATACATTTAATCTAATAAATACTTCAACACACTTAAAGGAAGGTAGAGAGGAGGGGAGG